TATACAAAGGATTTCTTAAAATGAAAGATGAATATAAAAGAAGCTTTTAATAATGGATTATTCAAGAAGTGGTGTTATACAAGGAGAAGTGTTCTATAATGTACAGATGCATCCCTTCTTTCTCTCTCACAACAGCGCTGCTATACACACGACAATATTGGACGATCTTTGGACGATGCAGTGCATCTGACCGTACGTACGCAGAGCAAAAACTGATTTTAAACTTGTGGGCATGAACTCCATCAACTTGTTTGTGTGAAATTTTTATTGTGTTGGAAAATGTTTATCATTTTGTGTTCAAAATGCCATATGCAATGCACCGGCGAGTCGCGCGCTGCTGGAGCGGCGCGCGCGCGCTGCATTTTAGCGCGGCTGCTGGAGCCAGCGCTGCGCGCCGCGCCAAACCAGGCGATGCGCGCGCGGCATATCTGTCTTTTGCGCGCGGCGCGATCGGCGCCTATTGAAGATGCTCTAACAAATTATTCAAAGTGTCTTTACCATCTTCTACATTCCATAATCATGTCAATGGCATTGGTATAACACATCCTCCAGATTTGTAGTGTTCAAAGGGAGTAAACACCAAAATTATAACATGTTAACAATCATCAGGTTGCATATATTGTACTATTTTCCCGTCATGATTTTTCCCTAATGATTTCTCATAAAAGGTTTTAAATTATGGGACGGAGGGCATATGTCATATTAGTTTTTCCTTATATTTTTTCCGCTGGATTTTAAAGGAGTTTTCAGTGGCATATGAGCATATCAGATCGCATTATTTACCCTTATGAGTATCCTATCAAATTTTCTAATAATTTTTTGAATGAAGCAATATATTTTAAGATCATAAAGTAATATTTTCAAGATTTTTCCCATTGGGGTTTATAAAGGAAAATAAGCAGAGCATATTTATTGTTCTCTACACTAATCAATGAGTTTTCTCCCTTCTCAAAGGTTTTCACATTTGAGCTACCAAGGAGATAATAATCATTATATGTTGCATCACTTTTTTCTTATTATTTTTTCACTGGGTTTAAAGAAGTTTTAGCAACGTGTCCATGCAATTCTCCCCCAAAAAAAATCCCACAGGGCTTTTGGAGGAGAATCTCGAGACTATACAAAGGATTTCTTAAAATGAAAGATGAATATAAAAGAAGCTTTTAATAATGGATTATTCAAGAAGTGGTGTTATACAAGGAGAAGTGTTCTATAATGTACAGATGCATCCCTTCTTTCTCTCTCACAACAGCGCTGCTATACACACGACAATATTGGACGATCTTTGGACGATGCAGTGCATCTGACCGTACGTACGCAGAGCAAAAACTGGATGCACCGTCAATCATCCGTCGTCCTCAGTTCAGGCAAACTGTCGTCCACACAGTAGTTCCGCTCTCACAATATGTAACCGGCATCTCTCTGAGGCGTCCCCTCGGCTTGTATATACGTATATACCTTTGCATCAATGAAATCCAAACACAATTCTGTCTACTACTTTTCATTCTTCATAATAAGAACGAATGGTTTGGATTCTCCATTGACGCGGATGTGGATGTGGAGGTTGGGCCCGAATGCTCCATTTTATGGTTATTATTATCTCCGAGACCCAGTCCTGAAAAAAGAAAATTCCATCAGTGATCATCGCCCCGCCCCTGTTGGTAGAATCTCCATTGAGGCATATCCATCTCCCCCATAAATATATATACGTGGCACACTCAATTTGTCGATGTCAGTTGTCGGACCACAATGGAGAATTGACATGTGGTTAGAAACCAAGTGACATTAATAGAGTCAAGGAGGAGCGAACATGAAGAGAAAAACAAGCGAAAATGAATTTGTATTTGTGGATGGAGAAGGAAACGTTGGGCTAGCTAGGAGGAAGAAAACCGGGGTGTGCTGGTTGAAAACAACATGTTTGATTGGTGGGAGAAAACTGTGGTGTGTAGGTTGACACTTACAACAATTCGTGGTGGGGGAGAAAATTATGATGTGATGGCCGGAAATAGCACATTCACTTGTGGTCAGCATGTATGTGCCTTTTGTGTTTTGTGTAGAGAATATCTTTTTTGAGTGTTGCCGTATATGTCACGTGGCATGGCAATGCACGGGCTTCTAACTAATACTAACGGTTAAGCTTGGGAATGGTTGCAGAAATGGTGGTCGAGCCGTTGAACTCGCCCGTGCTCACCACCGTCCTCGCCTTCCTTCTCGTGGTGATCACCCTCCTCGTCTCCACCAGGCGCAGCAGCAGTGCGCTGCGGCTGCCCCCGTCGCCGCGGGGCCTGCCGGTCGTCGGCCACCTCCACCTGCTCGGGAGCCTGCCGCACCGGAGCCTCCGGTCGCTGGCCGCGTCCCACGGCCCGGTCATGCACCTGCGGCTCGGCCGCGTGCCCGCCGTCGTGGCCTCCTCCGCGGCCGCGGCGGAGGAGGCCATGAAGACCCGCGACCTGGACTTCGCCGGCCGCCCCAGGCTCCTCATGGTCGACCGCTTCTACTACGGCACCGGCGGCATCGGCTTCGCGCCCTACGGCGACCACTGGCGCCAGGCGCGCCGCGTCTGCGCCGCCCACATGCTCAGCGCGCGCCGCGTCGCGTCCCTGGGCCGCGTCCGGGCGCAGGAGGCCGCCGCGCTCGTCGGCCGGGTCCGCCGGGCTGGTTCCGGCGTCGTGAACCTGAGCGACAACCTCGTCGTCTACTCCAACGCGGTCATCTCCCGCTGCACGCTCGGCGACGCGGACTGCGGGGTGGAAGGCGGCGGCGCGAGGCTGAGGAAGGCGTTCGGCGAGATGGAGGAGCTCCTCGGAACGGTGCCCATGGGGGAGACGGTGCCGTGGCTGGGATGGGTGGACACGGTGACGGGACTGGAGCGGAGGGCGAGACGAGTCTTCCAGGAGATGGACGGGCTGCTGGAGCGGGTCATCACCGACCACCGCCAGCGACGCCGTGTTGCCACCGCCACCAGGGACGAGGAAGACTTCGTGGACGTGATGCTGGCTGGACGCCGACGAGCTGGGCACGGACAGCATCAAGTCCATCATCTTGGACGTGCTCGCCGCCGCCACGGACTCGACCTTCGCGCTCCTCGAGTGGGCGATGGCGGAGCTCATCAACCACCCGCACGAGATGCGCAAGCTCCAGGCCGAGGTCCGCGCGGCCGTCTCCCCCGGCGCCGGCGCGGTCGTCACGGAGGCCCATCTCCCGCACCTGCCCTACCTGAAGGCCGTGATCAACGAGACCCTGCGGCTCCACCCGCCGTCGCCGCTGCTGCTGCCGCGGGAGACGCTGGAGGACACCCGGCTGCTGGGCCACGACGTGCCGGCGGGCACCCGGGTCCTGATCAACGCCTGGGCCATCGGCCGCGACCCGGCGACGTGGGGGCCCCGCGCCGAGGAGTTCGCGCCGGAGAGGTTCGTCGGGTACGGCGGCCTCGGCGGTGCCGGGCAGGACTTCTCGTTCCTGCCCTTCGGCGCCGGGAGAAGGGGCTGCCCCGGGGTGGAGTTCGCCATGCTGTCCAACGAGCTGGCGCTGGCGAGCCTCGTGCATGGCTTCGACTGGGAGCTTCCCGGCGGGAGGGCGCCGCCGGTGGACATGAGCGAGCTGTACGGCCTCTCCGTGTGCCTCAAGGCGCCGCTGCTTCTGGCCGCCAAGCCGTGGTCGTCCATGGATATGGATGGCGTTGAGTGAGCTAGGATCGACGGTGCTTCTTTTCTCTACATATATGTCCATGAGAAGTGTTAAAGTGGGAATGTTTTTTTCTTGATTTTTTTTTAAATGGAGGCAAAATATTTTCTTCAACTATTTTAATTAAGATTTAAAAGAGTGTACAAATAATTACAAGTTTTTTTTTTTGCGGAGGGCGTCGATTTTAGTCTTGTATGCGTGATGGCACTAAGATATGGTGTGAAGACCATTGCATGCATTCTGCTCATTGCGAATTGCCAACAAGGGATATGATCCCCTTCTTTCTAAAGCCGTTGAACGGTTACCATGGAACACCGCCAATCCATGTCCGAACTGAAGTTGCATCAATGCTCGATACGGATCTCGACATGCCGCATTTGGGTCTCCATTGGGCAGAGTTAACATAAGCCACAATTCAACCATCTTACTCTTTGCAATTGGCCAGCTATCAAATCTGCGTTTGTACCGTGTTTCAAACAAAACGAACCCTAAATTCTTTGTGGTGTAACCTGACAAAGTCCTAAAATTGACCTAATTCAAAAGTCTAGAATGATGTACGCACCCTTCAGGGAGTTGGATGGCTTCAGAAATTTCTCGAATTGTAGATCTAGGTATGTGGTGTGTCCTGCATCTGTTTTGCTACAACTTTGTATCCATACACTGAGGATAAAAAGACTTCGAGTTGTGTCACTCGATCTCTTTGGGTGCTCGTGCTCATCGGTTCCGAATTGCTGGCCAGCAATTTTAAAAAAACTCAACAGTACTCTTATTAGTTTTCCTTTATATTCCCTCCCTTTCTATATATAAGCCTTTCAAAGATTTCAATAGGGACTATACATATGAATATATATATGTAGATGTATTTTAGATTATAGATTCACTTATTTTGCTTCATATGTAGTCCATGTTGAAATCTCTTTTGTCTATTGGAACCTCTACAAAAGGTCTTATAATTAGGTCATATTGGAATCTCTAAAAGGCCTTATAATGAGGAACGAAGGGAGTAATACTAATAAAAAAATAAATGTGTATAATTTATTGTTGCTATCATTTTGTGTTTGGTTGTTTGTTCCATTAAAAATAAAAGGCATACACTGAAGTTTGGTTGTCCACAACTAAAGGGAGTATAATAATAACAATACTAGAACGTTGCACGGCACTTCACAGCTAAATTCAGGCATAGGCCAAAAGGTAGCAGGTTCAGTCAGGCAGGCAGCTAACTATCATACAGATCAAGAGGGAGAGAGGTTCTAGGAACCCTAGAGAAGTCACCTATTACAGACAAGTAATCGTCAACACTGCCGAAGGAAAACCCGATTCTAACCCAGAAACAGTGGCATTGAGGAGCTCCTCGTTTGTCGCTTATCTGTTGCAGGCGTCTGCGGGGGGGCGGCCGGAGGGACCTTGCGACGCTTCTTGCGCTGCTCTGTCTTCTCTGCGGTAGACTCGACATCCTTCTCCGAGCACCTGTCCTCGGAAACTTCCATCTTCTGACCTTCAGAGGTGCTGGCAAGAAGAGGCCTTTTAGCATGGCAGGGTTTGTCCTCAAAAATTGCTTCATTCGGTTTGTCCTCGCAAACTCCCATCTTCTGATCTTCAGAGATGCTATCAGCAAGAGGCCTTTTAGCATCACAGGGTGTCTCCTCGCAAACTGCTTCATTCGGTTCGTCCTCGCAAACTGTTTCATTCTTCACGCACAAGGCGCTATCAACGTCAGGCATCTCAGCATCAGAATGGTTAGTGTCAACTTCACAAGGAACTGTCTCGCCAGCTCCTGGTCCTACGCTACCGTGTGCATCCACACTGTCCACATGAGCTTCATCACTCCCATTTGTACTGTCACCTGCCACGATGGTGCTAGTCTCTCCCTCTTTCAGCTCATGCGGAACAGCGCTGTCGCTGATAGCACAGCTGTCAATGTTTCCCTCTTTGGACTCGGGTGAAATATGCTGCTCACCATCACTGATCTTATCAGCAACTGCGCAAGTTTCCTCCGTGCCAACTTCGATATCATCTTCTACCTTGAGATCCACTTTGATATCATCTTCCACATTGAGATCCACAGAAGTATCTTCATGTTTCGCGTCCTCAGATTCGACAGCAATTATTGCGGGAGAATGCTCAGCAACATCGTTATTCAAATCACATACCACGGGTAAAGACTGCTCAGCAACATCATTGTTCAAATCGCATACCATGAGTGGAGACGTGTCCTCAAAAACATCACCCTTGGCCTCCTCATCTTCAACAATGTTTCTTTCTGAAGAATGCTCACAAGTATTCCCTTCTATATCACCAGCCACTACAGATCCCATGGCATCAGGGAAATCATATCTGCCATTGTCAGCTTCGTCTTTGGTGCTTGCTGGATCAGATGCAATGTCAACTTCCCTGGCATCAGACATCATGACAGGATGCATATCTTCATCACAGCAATCATCCAGAACTTCATTTATGTTTGTTTCTAAGCTATGTTCTTTGTAGGCCATTGCCTCAGAGTTATCAGAGAATGAGCCACACTTGGAATCCATAATATTATGCATCGTAACTTCTGTGTAGCTAGAAATTGTCCGGTTATTGTGCGAACAATCCAGCATGGATTCCACAAAATTGTCCTGACCTTTTACCACAGAACCATCATCCTTCAACGCTTCAGCATCTTCTGGGGCGCATGATCTCAGGTCAGGTTTATTATCATAATCCGCAGGAAGTGGCTCATTTTCAACAGCCTGGCTTGGCATGCAGATGGCAAAATCATTGTCGGGTGGACAAACCTAACAAAAATAATGAACAACAGGTAAAAAAATGACCTTAGAAAACAAGTTCAACAAGTTAACTACTATCGATCAATTGAAATAGTAAGTACTAGCCACTAACTAAAATTATACCTGTGTGTCCTGTACAGCAAATGTTGTAACCCCTTCAGTCTCTAAAATGCATCCAGGAACAGGTAGAACATTTCCAGAATCATTAAAGCAGATGGATGTGGATTGTTGCTGTGTTCCAGCAATTTGGCAAAGTGAGTCAGATTCACCAGCAGAGCACCCCTGAGCAAGGAACTCTCTAGCTGCTTCAGGCTCAGCATTTTCTCTTCCTAGATAACTTTCATCAAACTGCTCGCTACCACAGGTTAGTTCCGGAAAAGTTTGAGAAGGTACTGTCACTAGCTCCTGGATTAACTTCCGGATCAATGAACGCTTCAGAGAAGCTTCAGCGGGTTCAAACCAACCATCACTGAGCTGAAAAGTACATCAAGCATTAATATGGGGTTAACAAAATATCCAAAATGAGATGTGTGAAGATTACTCGAGCAGAGAGGCATCAACTAAAACTTCAGTCTCCTGCTAAAAAGATGTACTAAAAAGCTATAAAGAACCTACCACTCTAACTGGGAGGATGGAAAGGTGGGATCAAAACTCAAGAGCGCTCACATCCTACCGATCCCCATATTTTAATTAGGAAAGTGGTTCCCCAAGCTCCCAACCACAAACAATTTCATAAGGCAGCAAACAGCCCATCCATGTTTTAAAGCTTTAACTTTGATAACCCCGCAACTGTACTTTTGACCTGGTGCAAAATGCCACTGTACTTCAAACTTTGATTATTCTCCAACGACTTCAATGTTCAATTGGACTTACAACTTATGCTTTATAATGGATAGCATGAGTCTACGTTTATTTCCTTGATTGATTTACATGGACCGCCATAGTGGCAGAAAATATGAACCCTAACGCCAGCAAGTACCATGCACCAATTCTTAACACATAGCAAGTTGCTAAAATGCAAATGGAGATGGTCAGGCCACAAATAACTGTGGTAAATTGACTAAGGTGAAGCTACAAGTGAGTGGCTACAATCCCTTCCTAAATATAAGTCTTTGGAGACATTTCACTATGGACCACATACGGAGCAAATGATTGAATCTACACTCTAAAATGCATCTATATGCATCCGTATGTGGTCCATAGTAAAATCTCTACAAAGACTTATATTTAGGAACGGAGGCAGTAGAATCTATGATAGTTTCTCCATTAGTGATTATGTACTAAAATATCCACACTTTGCATGGTGTTCACTATAACACCAAAATTAGCATCTACTGAAGAAAAATAAACCAAATTATATAAACAGAACAGAAAAGAAGTAGGCTGCTAATGAAATAGAGAGCTGGGGGCCCAAACATAACAACATCAACATTTAAGAAAAATAATTAATCAGAACTCACAAAGGTTGAGGATACTGATATCTTCATAGGGTTGAAGCTACTGGGATAATCCATCAGAAAGCGTTCCACATAATGGAGAAGGAACAGGCCACAGTCAAATGAGTTATCTTGCTGAGGGAGCTGGACGGACAAATAGAACAAATCTATATCACAATAGAAAATAGATATTGACAAATGAAATAAAAGAATTTCTTAGTTTTGTAGGCATGTATACGATATTAAAAGAAATTTCTTCGTTCTGTAGGCATGTTACGATATACATTTGCAACCTTGCAGGTTATTTCAACAATGAAGGCGAAGATCAGCTGAAAGTATTTTTCATAGAATGGAAAATTGTTGGACTGGCTAACTCAACAAGTCAAACAGACTAGCTCATAGAGATAATTAACAGAAGCTCCTAACCCATTAGACAAGCAATCCCTGGACTGCAATTTCAGTTAAAACAGAGAGCCTGCAAATAGTATCTTTATTGCCTATTGCATGTTCATGGGCCATTTATTTTTTGTGCGGGCATTTTTTTTCGTTGCATGGGTCGGAGGGTGTGTGTTCATGGGCCATGTATTTGCACTGAATTCGCTATTTGGTTGGCCATAGATTAGCAAGGATAAGGAAAAACTTAAATGCACACGTGACAAAAGCTCGTCAAAAAATTGGCAACAGGCCAAGACTGGCAATTATGACAGGATTTTGGCAAACACTTTCTTGTAAATTTTAGCTTTAAAACTTAAACCCTGATGGATAAAAGATTTTATTAATAATTTCAAACCTTTACATTTTTATCGAGTTAACACTTAAGCTAAATACCTTCGACAGATATCCACACTAGTTACCATCTATACCTCTCCATGAATGGTGAGTGCAAGTGGCAATGCAATTTAAAAACAGCTCCTTGTTTTATTGATCACTGATGAAAGGAAATAACAAGGGGTAGGGTTACTCTCAGTGCTTGCCCTCTTCACAGCATCAACATTAAATGGTTCTCAGAACTAGTGTAAGTCAGAAATTGGCATAAAAAATAGAAGTACTCAACAACAATTTTACAGAAACACATGAGACTTGATACTAAAAGCTGATGTCAACAAACCTCAAGGGAGACGAATCTCAGATTTAAGAATTTGTCTGAAATATCTAATGCTGATTCAGGGTGCCTTTCCTTCCACTCTTCCCATAGATAACTGCACCAGAAAGAGTTAAACTCAGCAGATATTGGTCACCAAGTGATAAGATAAATTGGAGCAATTAAGTGCAAAAAAGCAACATTGACGGTTTACACTTTTCAGTTATTATATACTTGCAAATTAGATGTATCAATCAGGCATTGATGTTGTCTACAAGTGACGCATTTGACCATTACCTAGACCAAAATATATATAAATATTTAATGTGCTTCTGACTATAGTGTCCGTTTTTTATCTGAAAAACCTAAAGACCATAAGTGGTCAAAGTTTTGAAAATATGATAGCTCATCCTAAAATAAACTAATTTGCACAAAAGCAGCACAAGATCTCACTCTTCCAGAAATGAGTTTACCTTTGAATAATGTCTTTCAGTCCACTGTGATTTCCTTTAAGAGAATCCATATGTAATATACATGGAACTTTACTATGCTTTTTTGCTTCACCATCTGAAGCAAAACAACGGGAAAGTAAAACACTACTCCATAAAAATGTTAAAAGTACCGACTTTAATTTATGTTCCCACCTTCAGATGTTTCCACTTCTCCAGGATAACAAATAACAATCAAGCTCCAATGCAAGCTGCAATGCAGAAACATAATTAACAGTGCACAGAAGTTATCATTTTAACAATAAAAAGAAGTGAACAAGTTCCTTGCCTGAAGTTCACTGGAATAAATAGAAAATCCTTCGCAAATATGTTTATTTTTCGGGTCCACTTGCGGACACGTAAAAAAGCTGATCTACCCTCTGGAGCTCTCCCTTGATCTTTGTCAAGATCTGCCAGCTTGCGAAAAAAGAAGCTATTAAAGAAATGGTACTTGCTCTTCTCGGTGGTCTTCATTCTTGTGCTTAAGTATCTGCAAATAATAAATAAACGCATAGTTGTAATTACAAATGAGTAAAATGAACTCCAGAGAAATGTGAAGTTAACAGGCACATACTGAAGTATGGTAACTAAACACATCAGAAATAGAAATTCATCTTTCAATGATATTTAAATCGATAATGAAATCAGATTTTGTTCAAAGCCAACAACTATGTAGTTGTCCATGAGAACTGTATGGCATTGTTATTCACAAAAAATACTGCCATGCAATGCATGAAACAAGCAGAGCCATGTGGTTACTGTAGCTTTCACATGATTGTGGGATACATTTGTTTCACAGGTAACTGATTTGGTAAGTAACGTTCAAAACAATAAAGAAGATTTCATATCATAAACAACTTAAGAAAACATAAATACAGAACTGCATCTGCATGTAGCAAAGCAGGTGATCTGATCTACAAATATAACAATGGCAATTACAAATATTACAATAGCAATTGCAACAGCACAAAAAGTGTAATTGGACAGCACCATTTAACAACTAAGGCTATAAAATAAAGGATGATTGTGCAGACACCAATGAAAGGTTCAACCTACTTGATATAGAAGTCAATTATTGTGTCGTTGACAAATGTTTCAGGTAGAAGCAAATCAACATCTCTGCTGCTAATAGAAACAGCATCCGGATCTCCTTTAGGATAGATAACATCTTCAAAGTCGTCAATGCTGAAACGATTAACACGAATAACGAAACAACTTTAAGCATAGCAAGAACGAAATATAGATCATGGTAGACATTCATAAGGTTATAAATAGCTCGCAATATTAGCATTATTGGTTTTTTGGATCCTAATCGCTAAACCATACTTCAAAGTCCCGCTACAGTTGCGACGGCAAGTATAGGTTCAAATAACTCTGATTTGTCTTAGCTAGCTAGTGACAGCCCCACTATTCCATCAAAGTACCTTTTGCCAAAACTACAAGCTAAATTTCATAATGAACTTCATTAAAGGCCTCAATACATCTATTGAGGGCATAGATTATGAGAACCTATCAAAAAAGTAGTCTCTTTTTTAACCCTTTTTAACAACTATATTTCTTAGTGATTATTACTCCCTTAGTCAAACTTGTGTGTGTTTGACCAAGATTATAGAATAAAATATCGGCATCTACAATACAAAATAAATAAAATATGAAAATACTTATAATGATGGATCTAATGATACAAATTTGGTAATGTGCCTATTGATATTTTTTCTTAAAAATTTGGTCAAACATGCATATGTTTGACTTTTGAAAAAACTAATACACTTATATTTTGGAACGGAGGGAGCATTTACTATTTAGTCTGACAAAAATTGTGTTCCTATCATGATAATGTGTCAAAACTTGCTTCCATGATTCGTGTAGTGTAAATATTAATTATTTTCTATTAAAATAACAAAAGATTATACATAATAGCTATGCTTTAAGTAGCTTAGCCAGGACCTCGCCGTCAAAACTGAGATCTAAAAACTTGGGAGATTACAGAAGACATTAGAACATAATAGGTGAAACTAGTACAATGGATAAAAACATGCATAGCAATAACATCGCTTCTACTCCCTCCGTCCCATAGTGTCAAAAACGCTGTTATATTATGGGACTGAGGGAGTTCATGACACAAGCTAATTGTAGTGCCATATGCTCATGAATGCTTCTAGATAGTTCAGATAGTTCATAGAGGCAAAAAACAAAAATTAAAAACAGATGCAGAGAATACATGACAGAAGTGCAACATACCCAGAAAAGTACTGTTTCGGGAAAAATAAACTTGGGTCAGTGCTCTGGTTCTCCAACGCAAAATCCTCTCTGACAGCGGCATGCCATCGCGTAAGAACATTGTTATAGAAACAACAACATAACCAAAGACTGTACATATATGTTTTGTAACTCGGAGCAAACTGCACATTAGAAGTGTAAAAAGATACAGATATAGCAAAACTGTCCAACCACGAAATCAGGCAAATACTCCCTCCGTTCCAAAATAGGTGACTCAACTTTGTACTTACGTTAGTACAAAGTTAGTACAAAGTTGAGTCACCTATTTTGGAACGGAGGGAGTATGTGACAAGTCCAACAGGATAAGAACTTTTCCGCCAAAATCATGTATAATGTCCTGATCCATCCATCACAACCTATGTCCAACAACAACAACAACAAAGCCTTTAGTCCCAAGCAAGTTGGGGTAGGCTAGAGGTGAAACCCATAAGATCTCGCAACCAACTCATTGCTCTGGCACATGGATAGCAAGCTTCCACGCACCCCTGTCCATAGCTAGCTCTTTGTCGATAATCACAACCTATGTCCACCTTTAATATTTGATATCCATATTCAAACCCCAGACAAACAGAAAACCAAACCCTTAGCTGAAATAACCCAACTTACCAGCATTTGCAGCATGTCTAATTTCGTGAGTTCTTGAGTAAAAGAATAACACATTACAATATAACTGTTTCATATAGTGATTTAAAGTGCATGGTCTATTCTCTACAATATGAATAAAATCATATATTATTAAAACTTGACAGTGATATCTGATATCAGTATCAGGCAAAAATATATTTGTTTTCTCTATATCTGGTGGTTATGGCTTATTAAATATGAGAACAAAGTTCTGAACTCAATCTACAAGTTAGTCTTCCTAAAATATGGGAAGTATCTGGTATGGCCAAGCATTTTTCACTGGCATATGTTTAACAGCCCAATTTACATGGTTCAATAATCAGCATTAGTATTTGCATGATCCTTATCTGTGGCTCGATAGGAGGGGGAAATAACAAAAAATAATGTGGCTAATGTAATGATGCATTGGCATGAACCTAGTAACTCTTCTATGCTGTGGTCAGAAATGTTATTTAACTGAAATCAACACATACATGAATAAATGGTCAGAATAAAGCATAACATCAGCTCAAAGCTTACGATGGAGTGTTGTTCCAGATGTCACGATATCTTGATGCCATATGACAGATCTTCTCTTGTTTTCGTGGCCACTGTGGATCTGTAAGAATAAACTCCACTCTAATAGGATCTATAGAGTACAAAAAAGACAAAAAATTAGTTCAATATACGCAAACGCCAAAGGATATCGAAACCTCACAATATTAACATTCAATTCATGTTAACTTATTAAATTATTCATGCATGCATTTGTGAACAGGTCACGCCGACAGAGAGGAGAGGTGGAACTTCAGGCACAGCGTCTCAAGTGGCAGGAAATTATTCATGCACCAGTCTTCCCAGCAACATTTACCTTCCTATTCAAAAGTACTATGCGCATGCAATCAAGCCTTTGGTTGGTACAGTCAAATAAATGTCTGCGCTATTTGTATAGTCTTACTATTGCATGACACATTTTCTGCCGAGGACAAAAAGGAAATTAGTAAGGAGCTCTTCAAGTGTTTTGTGTATTCAGATACTTTTGTCAAGCAGTGAACCGAAAATAATCAAACAAATAAACTGTTGTTTGGTTGATGCTATTTAACTTTTCAGAAGAACAAAAGACATGCAATACTGATAAATTCTAAATTAACAACAAAACACACCCCATAAACCAACACAGCTATATTTCATGCCATGCCATGCATCATACATTAGCCAAGATGTCATCTCTCACTGGAACATAGGGAAAGCATACTAAATCTGGGATACAACAAAAAGACGGGAATGCCCAACGTAATTACCTGAACTTCCGGTCTCTGCACTGGGTCTAATAAGAAGTGTTACAGAGGCAGATATAACCTGGTTAAAAGGGTAACTGATATTGAGCTATACAAATTAGAACAGAAAGTAGCAAACAAAAAGTAAAGAGAATTACATACACTCTGAGTCCATTGACTATTAATGGAAATGATGTCACAAACATCCCAACATAGAGCTATCGTCTTATCATCTTCATATGGATCACAATCCGAATGTTCAATTTTGAACCCATCTGGTGAAAAAATTACGTGAGGCTGAAAATGCAGGGCCGTGTCGCACATCACAAAGTCAGGTTTAAGCACAACCGTCCCTTCTTTATCAACCTACAAATACAGAAAACAAATAGAAATGATAAAAATACCCAACTACATACTCCAAGATGACATTTGAATCATGTTAGTAGGCCAATAGCTGGCTGTAACTTAACAAATGTAAGTTTTACAGATATGAACTATCAGTTCTATTCACTTCGATCATTTCTCCTAAATTTCTAGCTTGCTGAAGAATCCAAACTGTATTCAATAATACGAATTACTCCAAGTGGTCTACAAGGCAAGGAGGATACATACCATTTCACCCAAAGCATTGTACATATTTTCCAAATTTGGTTCCATGTAACCTGAAATTGCACAAAAATATATTAGCAGACTCCCATAAAAAAAAGCACGAGCATTGGCTATGGGTACCATTTTACAGGGTATACCGTAATTAGTGGTGGATGAAGTTTCAGGACTAGATGACAAGTTTTCTTCATCGGAATCAGAATATGTTCCCTGATGCCAACCCAAACGAGAAACCAAAAAAGATTAATACATGGAAATGGAATAAATAGTTGCATGAAAAGACAAATATTAACAGTATCTATATCTGGCTGAACCTCAAGGTGCTGCGTACTGCCATGTCTAACTTCCTTCACGGCCTGAATTCCTGACATCATCCTTGTATCTTCATATCCATCTAAGCAAGCATAGGAATTGCCAGAACCACTGTGCATGGCTGTAGTTGCCATAACCACATCAAATTCGGTTTTGTGGGATAGATCCTGATTCATTTCAGGAAATTCAGTTGCATATGATTCTTCACCAACATGAGTATCATGCAAGCCAGTGAATTCCAAACCAGAGATATCAGTCTGATTCATCTGCAACCTGTGAATTACAACACAGTGGAAGAGGGTATAGAAGCAATTAGATATTATTTGACCGACAATCATAGATTACTCATTGATATGCAATAAACATACAACAACAAAATAAGTAAGGCCTTGTCATCTTCATTATTATGATTGACCACTGAAAGATTGAATGAAAAGAACTGGATGCACAGGCCAAGAAAAACAAGCATCAATAATTGTATCTAATTTGTAATGAATGTGAAACATCAGCACTATATCAAGAGTTGTAAATTCTCAAAACCACAACACTGAAGTGGGTGCACAGGAGCAGCTTACTTTCGTTCTATAACATTAACACATTATGCTCTAATGTTATTAAAGTACCGTCAAAATATATGGAATCTAATAGGAACACTCTGCAGCATTTGAGCAAACAGAATACAAGTTACAACCTTAGTGAACATTCTCGTATGAGTTTGTATTGCTAGCTTAATTTGCTTAGCGGGGCTAGATAAATGGATGACGACGGGTGCTAGTTGCAGTTACCTGTGGTATATTTGAGCCAACAGAATTTGTCTTGCAATCTTAATAAAATAGTCTCTCAAATTGCTTAGCTAGGCCAGATTCACCTAGCTCATTTGAGCTATAGCTCACAGAAGCAAGGCTCATCGTTTGGTGGCATGGAATCTAAAAACGTAAAACACAGAGCACACCTTGAAAAATAACTCAGCTTCTTTGAATCTATGTTTGTTGGATGCATGGGGAAAGAAAATCTGCAGAGATGAACTGGGACAGGAATAGTCAAATACGACCCCGCAACTGCTGTTGCATGCCCTTGATAGACAGAGGCCAAGACAAATTCTGATTTTGGCGTTTGCATGCGTCTGCAATACGAGAAGTCGAGAACATCACACCCGCATGAACCGCACCCTCCTGTTCCGCGTCTCTTCGCCACGGGCGTTGCGGCAACGCCCACGCAGCTCGGTAGCTGCCGGCCAGAACCAAATCAATGCGGCCAGACTGCCAGAGGACAGAGCCAGACTCGCAAGGCACAGCCTAGGCCAATCAAAGCCACAGCCGGCAACTAAATGACCAGTACAGTCACCAGGCCCATCAACACCACAAGCAGGAGCACTAACACGGTAATTTTTTCTAACCATCTTTGCGTCAATTGTTCGTTCTTCAATTTTGCCCCATGATTATGAACTTGTAGCCAATAGACGGTAGACCAAACCCCAATTCAATCTAATTAGGGTAAACTAAATTCAGCTAGGAAATTTTCCATATTTTACGTGTAATTTGCTTTTATCTAAAGTAGTTTATTAAACCTCTGTGTCTGACAATGTATTTTGGAAATTGGAAATGCAAGACATCTTTTTCAAGTAATTTCGTCCTTTGTTTCATCAATACAAATATATAATGGGCATTTTTGTATTTATGCGTGGTCTTCTATTCCGTCCGACAATCTATGATAGAAGTAAAGGGGCACACATTTATTTAGTAAACCGTTACTTGAAAAAAAAATACGGCACATGTTAAAATGGTGAATCGGGGTGGCGTTACCTCTAGCTCTGCCCCTGTATCTATCTACCCTACCCCAACTCGCTTGGGACGAAAGAAAAATCAAATCTTACCAAAGGGTAAGAAATGCAATCTGGACAATTGCATACACATAGATAGAACAGTGCCTATATTCATACAACACTTTCTTCTACCATTCTTGAAAGTACGCATACCAATCTATTTTCTGCTACAGGAACGCACACTCATCTATATATGATGTATCCGGAAAACACGACCAGCCATAGAAATTTCGTCACGAGCGTTAATAAAAAAAACATTAATTTCCGGTTCAGCAATCGGCCACAATTTTCGAGAGGATGGGGAAGTTACAACAGGACGGAAGATCGGATATACCTGATTCAAGTCGCGGAGGGGGCGACGGGGCGGATGGAGGCGGCGGCGGTGTCCTCCTTTGACCTTCGATCGGGGAGGAGGGGGTAGGGTTTGAGGACGGGGACGTCCCGCTGGCGGCGGTCAACGAGGGCGAGCCGGGGACAGGGCGGCGGCGACGGATCTCGTGGTTCTAGGGTTTCCGCCGAGGGGAGGGCCCGCGGGGCGTGGGTGGGGAAAGAGAGAGGTCACGGAGAGCGTGGCCGGGCGGCGCTGGTCCGCCGGAGGGGGTCGGGGGAGAGGCGGAGGCTACCGGGGCGGCATGGGGAGATCGGTCGCCCTGGTGGCGGTGGGGCGGAGGAGGAGAGGAGAGGCGGATGGCGTCGGGGAGATGGAGGTCGACTCGGCTGTGCCCCCAGTGGCAATTGCGGGGTAATTATACCGCAAAGTAGTAACTACTCTCCAATTGCCTTTGATCACAAGGAAAAAGTTTTCCGGAGGAGGGTTTTATCACAAGGAATTGGTGAGGGGGAATGCGTTTTACTCCCATGGTAAGTTCTTTAGATTTTAAGTCTGTCGTAATGACGTGGGGTGAAAAGCAGGCATGTCGCTCTGTATTTAAACCACTGTTGTTGTTCTGTTTTAAGATATGTGCATCTAGTATTTTTGAAGATTTATTTATTATTTATGTATGTGATACGTAACAAATGTAAAGATACGGCGGTTGATACTCTAGCAGCGCATCTCTAGACATTAATGAGTGCGGATCGGGACAGAATCCTTCGGACGGGTATTTATTTCATATACCGTCTCTTCGTGCTGAAATAAATATCTTGGATATGGGTTTCTATGTTGATGTGAGGCTGGCTCGCCATGTTGTGCATGTCCCACAATTAAGGGGGAGTCACGTGACACGATAGGAAGCGCATCTTTTTTCTTCCTCGTTGGATGAGCGGGAGCCCCCCAAAAACTCGGTCTCCACAAACATCCCTCCCTCTATTTCCCATGTGTTTTGAATCAAGTCAAACGAGTGTTGAATTAGCACATGAGAAGTTGGTTTATCATCATTTTATCTATGGGGTTAGCGCATCTTCGGATGGATCAAACAACTACTCACATACCAAGTTAGAGATACACCCGAGATGGGATAAGGAAAGACGAACGAGAAAGGATGGGTATGGTGGAGGACGGCTGGAGCACTGCAATGAATGAGGTAGATGGAATGGGCCTCGAATGGTTCAGAAGGTACATACAGAAATACAAAAAATAATACCATACACTACTCACGGAAGAATGTGAGTTTGACATCAACTTCAGCCAGTTTCTAAATTTGAGCCTTTAAAATGGGTGTAGCGTGACAAGCGGATTAATGAATACCAAGTGTACAACCCCCCCCCCCCCAAATACATAAACCATTACTATCACTTTTCTTTTGGAATATGATCATCTAGAACTTTTGGAGATTTTTGCATGTAATACATAATAATTGCGAAGATTTGTCGACTGATACGCTGACAACGCATCTCTAAACATTAATGAGTACATGCCAGAACAAAATCCATCGTCCAGATATTTATTTCCGATATCAATGTCTTCTTTTTTTGAGCAAATATCAGCGTCTCCCTACAATGTCCAGTGGCAATTGCGGGGTAATTATACCACAAGTAACAACTACAGCTGCCTACTCTTTAATGCATTTGATCAGAAGGTTTTTCCCTTTCTTGATGAGGGTTTTATTACAAGGAATTAGTGACAAGGGATGGATTTTTTTAGAGTTACTCATGCGAGTTCTCTCAATTTTTAGTCGTTGTCATGTGTAGAGTGAAAAGGCGATGAATGGTTTTTAAGAATGTGCTCTTTATATTTAGACCATTATTATTGTTCTGTTCGAAGACAGGTGCATCTAGTACTTTTAAAGATTTATGTTTGTGAGACGTAACAAATGTAACACACCTCTAGATATAATGAACGCAGATCGCAATAGAATTCTTTGGACAAATATTTATTTCCTATATCTATTTCTTCGTGCTGAAATCAATATCCCGCGTATGAGTTTCCATATCGATGTGAGGTTAGCTTGGCATGTTGTGCATGTCCCCTATGAGGGGGGAGGTCACGTGACACGACGAGAAGACAACTCAAGCCGGCTCGTAAAATTGAGCCTTTATAATATGTGTAGAGTGAGCGAACGAATGACCATCGAGTGTACACCTCCCCACACCTAAAAACATCACTAATGCTCTATTTTGGGATATGATCATTTAATACTTTTTGATATTTTTGCATGTAATATGTAATAAATATAAAGATATATCGACTGGCACCCTAGCAGCGCATCTCTAAATGTTAACCGCCATAGCGAAGGAGATGAGTGTGAAACAACGATGGAGCATCCCGACTGGACGAGCAAGGAGCCTCCCTGGAAAATCAATCCCCATTACATCCATAGATCAGTTGTCCGAGTATTTATGGATCCAGACGACCAAGTGTTAAACTAGCACAGGAAAATGATATGCCTTCGTTTATCCATGGTGATTAGCGCATCTCCGACTATATCAAACAACTACTTCCAAATCAAGCTGGGGATATAATTGTGTGAAGGATAAGCAAATGGAGATAAAGAAGAACGTTCGTGGAGGAGACTGGCTGCAACACTATAGCCAATGTGGTAGGTGGACATTTGTAGTGAATGAGGTAGATGGGAAGGGCAATTGGGACTTAGGGGTGTTGAGTAGACTAGAGTTGTGTGGGCCATGTCATGGATTCCTAAATTTTGAGTTATTATAACGGGCATAGAGTAAAAAGTGGATGAATGGTTCTGGAGGGCAGAAACTGTCTGTATCTAAACTATTTTTATTGTTTTGTGGGATATATGCATTCAATACTTTTGATGAAGACTTATGTCTGTGATACGTAACAAATGTAAAGATGCACATTAATACTCTGGCAGCATATCTCTAGATGTTAATGAATGCAAATTGGAACATGATTCTTCGATCAAATATTACTTCCTATATCAGTGTCCTCGTGTTGAAATCAATAGACCACGTACAAGTTTCCATATTGAAGTGAGGTTAGCTCGACACGTATGTCTATCCCACAGCGAAGGGGAAGCCATGTTACACAAGGGAGATCACAATGTGCTTCTTACTGGCTAGATGAGCAAGGAGCATCCCCCAAAACTCGATCTACACTGGATCTCTCCCTCCATTTCCTAGGTATTTTGAATCCATTCGAGTGAGTGTTAAATTAGCATAGGGGAATTGATTTGTCGTTCTTTTTATCGGTGGTGATTAGTGCATCTTCAAATGGATCAAATAACTGCTTATATATCAAGTTGGGGATAGAACCATGTGAAGGAGAACAAAAGTGAGACGGTGAAGAACGATTGTGGTGAAGGATTGCTAGAGCACTGCAATGAATACAGTAGGTTGGCATTTGTAGTGGATGAGGTAGATGGGAAGGGCAATTGAAACTTTGGGATGTCCAGCAGACTAGAACTACCTGGGCCCGAATGGTTCAGAAGGTACATCTATATGATTTGCAGCGAGCCAATACAAAATTAATACCATACATTACTCATAAGAGGAACGTGAGTTTGAGAGCAACTCAAGTGGATTACTAAATTTTGAGCCTATGTAACGGGTGTAGAATGAGAAGCAGATGAATGACTCACAAGTGTATACCTCCCCGAGTCCCCGTATACAAACTATCTATTGCTCTATTTTTGAGGTATGTGCATTAATATTTTTAGAGTTTTTTATTTGAATACATAATAAATACAGATATATTTGACCAATACCATGACAACGCATCTCTTAACGTGAATGAGTACAATCTGGAACATAATAGATATTTATTTCCTATATGAGTGTCTTCGTACTAAAATCAATACGCGTATGAGTTTCCATATCGAAGTGATGTTAGCTCCTAAATCAATATGCATATGAGTTTCCATATCGAAGTGATGTTGGCACGGCATGTGTGTGTATCCACAACGAAGGGGTGGACCGGTGGAGTGTGTGACACAATGGCAGAGCG